AATTTTATTTCCGTTTTTAAAGAAACTCTTGTCAATTTCCTTGTCATCTTTGATGGTGTGAAATCTTTTACAATATTAATTCACACGGTGTGAATCTTTCACAGCATTGAGTTTCACTCAGTGTGAAATGGTTCAAGATGAAAGATTTCCAACTTGTAAGAATTATGAATAGTTCAATAAAATTTCAATTTATCAAAAATTAATAATCATTCTGCAACGTCATTGGAGACACTTTTTGAGACGTCATTGAGGACGCTTTTTTTGACGTCTTAATGACTCTCAAATTGACACCGTCAAAATGACGAAAAAAAACGTCATTTTGACGTCCACAACACCGTCCCAATGACACCTTAACAAGCATAAACAAAGGCGTCATTCATGACTATAAAATCGTCAAAACATGCGTCAACAAAAATGAGCGGGAGGTTGACTTTTGACGATTTTTGTGAGCTGGAAAGTAACGTTTGTCTTTATGACCTATAAATTCCTGTCTAATAAATTCATTACCTTTTTAATTTTGGTGAGTTTTCACCTTGTTGGTGTATTCATCATTCACCATATATTTTCATCATGATGATTGAATTTCAACAACATAGTATCATTAGTAGGGATGTCTAATATCACCATCAAGAGAGTTGGAATTGTTCCACTTTGTATTCATAGAGTTGTGGAATTTTCACTTCATCATATCTTTTATCATCAGCAAGTTCGCTTCCGATCATTAAGGCCAATATCTTAATGGTCATCATCATCACACCATCACTAACAGTGAATTTTCCAACATGGTAAATTTCAAGGTAGGAAATCTTGCTGATTTTCAAACTTGATACACAACAATTTTCAATAAATTTTCAATTTGTTTTATTCTTGGTGTGTTTATTTCAATCTACATTAAATTGCTTTGCTCACATTCCACCATTCATTGTTTAAATAATAAAATTAGTAGATGATGTCTTTTCGAAAAGTTTTTTAACATTGATTCAATTATTTAAGAATGCTCAAGGAGAAGATGTACATTCGAAACGTTTCGAACTAGAATAATATTGAATTTATTTCTGAACTTTTTTGAAGGCCAAGTACAAAAAAAATGTACAATAATTGGACTTCATCACCAACCTCTGCACTTCCTTCACTTTTCAATATAAGCTCATCACCAACTGCTAACTCACCTACACTTTCCAATAATGTTTCGGATGAAATATTTCACTCTATTTATACTGCTAGAGCTGCCATTTGTGATCAGGATTTGGAAACTTTGAAAAGTCTGAAACTTCATTTGATCATCAATAATAATTCGGTACTGGGAGAAACAATATTAATGACAGCTGTCAAAGAAAGCGCACACGAAATTATAGAATTATTGACACAGGTTCCGAATATTGATTTTAATGTTGTATGTAATTATTGTTAATCATAATAATTAATCATCGTTTTGTATTAAAGAGAAATGTAAGTTTTATTCGAAAGCAGAATTCTAAACTAATGACCAGCGAGAAGGAGAAACTCTATTAGAAGTAGCTATTAGAAACGAACAATACGAAACTGCAACACTGTTAATGAAGAATAACCACATTTCCACTGAACTACGAAGGAAATATTGGATCAAATATTTATATTCGAAATTACTTTACAATCATTCTAATTGTTTCGATGGATTTCTAATTGATGGTTCTGGTGGAATTCATTTCAACATTGGGAATCATCCGTCAAATTCACAAGATGTATTTTGTCAATATTTCGAATATTCTTCTGCTTTCAAATCATTATTAGAAAGTGTCAGCAATCAGTTAATTCCAAATCCCATGTCAGTAAGCAAAATACTTGCATTTAAACAAGCAATCCCTGAATGTTGGGAAGAATACGTTGTGAAAACATTTGCAGAACGAGTAGCAAACAGTTGTCCAATTGTAATTCCAACAATGATTCAAATTCAAGAATTACAAAATCCAATGATTGATAGAAGTTGTAGAAAACCCATTTCGAATACTGAAAAGAATGCACTGGCAATTGTTAAATTGAATGGATTGGAAGTTTTAGAGAAGGTTTCGAATAATACTGGAGAAAATGAATTGGAAATCTTGAAGAAAATCAACACTTGTGAAGGAACAGTTAAATTATTGTATCATTATATTGACGAATCTGGAACTACGCATTTATTTTTGGAATTGATGAATAGTTCATTGGATAAGTGTTCAACAAAATTGACTAATTTTGGAGTGAATAATTTTGGAATTTTAATTCAATATTTATTTATTTGCATGAAATGTTGTGAAACTTTGAAATATTTTCATGAAAGGAAGATTATTCATTATGATATTAAACCTGCTAATATTTTAATTAATATGATTGAAATTGATGGATTGAAATTGGTAAAAGATGTGAAAATTGCTGATTTTGATGTTTCAGTTTCTGTTGATAAAGTGGAAACCTATTCAGCAACCATTGGAGGAACCTTTCAATACATGGTAAGTTTTGTCTCATTTAATTCAATCTAAGAATTTACTTTCTAAAGGCTCCTGAAATTTATGAAAAACGAATGCAACACAAACCGAAAGATTTCCAAAAAGAATATCTTCTCACGGCATTGGATGTTTACAGTTTTGGAGTTACAATGTATGAATTATTTTCTCAAAAACACATTGAAAATAATGAAAGATTAACTTGCTTTCTCTCAACAAACGAATTATTGGAATTATTTCCTTGTTTAACACTCAATCAAGCCAATGAAGTTATTAGAATAGGAAATAGTTGTTTGGAATATAATCCAAAATCAAGACCATCATTTGCGGAATTACAAAAACATTTATTGAAATTAACAGCAAACATTTTACAAAATGAACAAAAAGAACAACCTTCCAAAAAAAGGAAATTAGTTCCAACATTACAAACAATTCAAACTAATGAAAAAAGATCAATTTT